CCTCATCAGGTTCCTCTCTGCCCAACTTTCCAGCCTGTCCAGGTCTTGCTGGATGGCAGCACAGCCTGCTGGTGTGTCCACCACCCCTCCCAGTTTGGTGTCGTCAGCAAACTTGCTGAGCGTACACTCTAACTCTTCATCCAGGTCGTTGATGAAGTTGAACAAGACTGGGCCCAGTACTGACCCCTGAGGGACACCACTGGTTACCGGCCTCCAACTAGACTCAGCGCCGCTGATGACAACCCTCTGAGCTCTGCCCCGTATTTGTTTTAGGTCATCAACATGTCTGAAGAACTTGCTCTTTTGGAGAGCTGTCTGAAGGAGGCCGAGGCTGCGTCCGACAGCGGTATCGAAGAAATGGAAATTGCGGAGGCTTCCCAAGCGAGCACGGAGACGGCCATCCACTCGCTCATCGAAACCCTGCGGAACAAGGAGTTTGTGTCCGCTGTGGCGCAGGTCAAGGCTTTCAGGTACGTGCTGAAGGACTGCCTGCAGACCCGAGTTCGCTCATGGGCCTTTTGAATTTCAAGACAGGGAGTAGGCACTGTGCCAGGGTTTTTCAGCTCTTGCTGGATGTCCTTCTTGAAAAGGACAAGCACTGTTGCTTCATTCCCGCTTGTTCATACGCATTTTGTGATTTAAAAAAAAAAAGCAGTTCTAGCAATACTTGTTCCTTAGAATTTCCTTCTGAGAAAATGAAACTGTGAACTCTCAGGACTCTACAGAAGCAGCATTTCTCTTGCATTTTCCTATGCCTTCTGTTCAAATGTCTGTTTGAAGAACAATAATATTTTAAAATATAGACTTTTTTTTTTTAATGTTTAAATCCCAATTGTGTGTTTACAGATCTATCTGGCCCCACGACATCTTTGGCAGTTCTGAAGACGACCCGGTTCAAACGTTGCTGCACATATATTTCCGTCACCAGACGCTTGGCCAGACTGGCAGCTTCGCAGTAGTAGGCTCCAACCAAGACATGTCCGAGGCCAGCTCAAAGCTGATGGAACTCAATCTAGAAATTCGAGAGTCTCTACGCGTGGTGCAATCCTATCAGCTTCTAGGGAAAATCAAACCAAGAGTAAATCTTGTGAGCACTGGATTCTGAACAGCTGTCATTTAGAAAAGAACTGGTGATGAAGATGCTTCAGACTATTATTGAGCACCTTTCATAAAAAAAACACACAGAAAAAAAAAAACAAAACAAAAAAACAAACCTCCAGCAATCCTGACAACGAACACAGTTTCATCACAGCAAGAAACCACTTCATCAGAAGTTAAAAATCTGAAAATTGAAGTGACCATCTTACTTGACTGCTCTTTCTACACAGTAGCTGTGTGGCAGTAGTATTTTTTTATGAAATTTATGTATTAAAAAAACTACATGAAAGGAAAAGGGCTTAAATGTAATGCATACTGATGCATTCTTTTCTGTTGTGCCAGAACTACAAATGGCGTTTGCAGTTCACAGCCTCTGCAGGCTGAAGCGGGACCGCAGGTGGGATGAGGCTAAAATCCAGGGCGCTTTATTTTGGCTGAAGACCTGCAAGGCTTCCTGGCTTCCCAGCTGTAGCAGACCTGGTCATCAGCTAACACCTAACCAGGCACTCCGCAGTCTCGTGAAGATTCTCAGCCACGAGTGGAACGACTTGGGACTGCAAAACCCCCTTGACTTCTCAGTGTTTTATTCGCTGTTGTTGTCTGGAACGAGGAGATGATGCGTGTGAGTTCGAATGTGTGGCTACGTGGCAGTTGTTTTTTTTTGTTTTGAAGGTGTGGGTGATTGTTAAATGAGGTCTCAGAGCACGCTTGAAAGAGCTGCAAGATTATTTTTGAAGAAATTTTATTTTATTAGGTCTAATCTTCATAGTGTGTAAATGTTAGGACATTTAATAATATTTTAAACTGGGATTTCCCAGTGTTTCTAAAAGAAATAATATATCTGTTAACTTTATTGGAATGCTGCTCAGTTCTCTGATCAGTGCTTATGTTACAAATATTGATAACAACTAACCAAAAAGTAGCTGCCTGCAGAGACTTTAAAATGTATATTAAAGATATATGCTGCCCATCAGCAACTCTCATTAGAAGTTAACTTATTTTATTCTGTATATATTCTAGAAACTGTATAGTGCAAACCCAGTATTTTTCTTGTAAATCTGTGCAATGCACTGTTAAGACAGTCGGTGTATAAAGCTATGAGGGGAAGGGGGGGTCTCCCCCCCGGTAGTCACGTGCGTTACTTGCAGTCCGAGTAGCCTGCAGGGTTCAAAGAGCTTGGATGCCCGTACCTGCATCTTCATCACTCGGCTTAAACCTAAGGAATTGGGACTAGGGAGAGGAAAAATAAAAGACTGACTACCAAAACATGCAAACAGGCAATATACTCATGGTTCAGTGTCAGAGTCTGTAGCATAAAACAAACTGGATTCTGTCAAAACCAACAGCGTTTTGTATTAAAAAAAAAAAAAAAAAAAAAAGGAATAAACCAGAAAAAAAGAATGTAGTCCCCCGATTCCTGTGATTTGAAAGGAACACCCAGTATTTTTATATACATCTCCTACCCACTGTGATTTTTTCTTTTTAACAGGCTCTAACTCCAGAGTTCAGAATGTAGAATTGCAATTCTTCACTCTGCCTTTTTGGGGGGAATGGGACCCCACCAGAAATGTAATTATACTGAAATGCATTAATGGCAGGCACTGTGCACGCTGTTGGACTGCTGGCAGCGGTGATGTTATCCTAACAAGCTCTGTAACTGGTCAAGGCACATCCATCACCACTGTATTTTTTTTTCCCCCCGTCCCTGATAAAGTTGAATTATTTTGATGGTTTTGTGGTACTGTAGATGGTGTTCTTAATTATTTAATAAGTATTTACCGGGGGTAAGTTAGTTTTATTTAGTGGCGCATTACACTTTTATTTACATCATCTTTTACCAGCTTTTTTTGTAAAAATAAAAGCCATTGTATCTGTCATTTTGTGTATTTTTACAAGCTAGAGTTTAAAGACTTTAGCTGAACGCTGGTAGGAGAAGCCTGGCTGCCCTGAAATCATGGGGTTTTTTCCATTTATATCCTGTCAAGGCAACAGCATTTCCCTAGACATCTTCTGAAGCCCTTAAAGGATTTCTCCTGCAAACATAAATCTGGATAGGCGATTCCTTACGTTACGCATCTTCCTCCGCTGACGGTGACTCGTGGGACCTGCCCTGCGGAGCAGAATCCTGCTGTTCTCATTGCTATGACTCCATGAAGCTTTCCCAGAATGTACTGACTCTCAACGGCTGCGTAAGCCGTCACCCTGCGTGACCCGGTGCCAGGTCTGGGCCAAATCCAAAGCTGCGGGGAAGCTGCCCAGAAACCAGCAAACCATCAGCCACCCGCTGCAGGACATGGCCAGCACGGCACCACCCCGCGTGAAGAGTCTGCAGAAAAAGGCTGTGGGGGGCGAGCTCCAGCTGTCTGTGGTGAGCTGGAAGCACGAAGGCTGTCCCTTCCACTCTGCACAGTCACGCAGGCCACGAGCCGCGTTCCTCCTTCCTGCCGAGGCCAGGAACCAGCGCCCGTGACGCACAGTGTGTGCTCTCAAGGACAAGACAGAGCAGTAAACTGGGAAAGGGCGCAGGGCGGTACTTCGGCATCAAGCAGTAGAATCAGCAAGGTTGGAAAAGACCTCGACATCAAGTCCAACCGTCAACCCAACACCCCCATGCCTGCTAAACCATGTCCCCAAGTGCCACATCCGCATGGTTTCTGAACCCCTCCAGGGATGGGGCATCCACCACCTCCCTGGGCAGCCTGGTCCAGTGCCTGACCACGCTTTCAGTGAAGAATTTTTTCCTATTACCCCATCTAAACCTCCCCTGATGCAACTTGAGCCCATCGCCTCTCATCCTATCACTGGTTACCTGGAAGAAGAGGCCAACCCCCACCTCCCTCCACCCTCCTTCCAGGTAGTTGTGGACAGCAATAAGGTCTCCCCTCAGCCTCCTCTTCTCCAGAGTGAACAGCCCCAGCTCCCTCAGCCGCTCCTCATCAGACTTGTTCTCCAGACCCCTCCCCAGCCTCGCTGCCCTTCTTTGACAAAGCACTGGATATATTTATGCAAGAGGAATGACCTGCAGAGCTACCACAGAGCTGAGGAACACTACAGGGTGAAGGAAAGCTGGTTTCATACCACAGCCCCCTGCCCTCTGCTCCTCCCAGCCTCAAAACCTTGCAGTAGCTGATGAAAGCAGGGCCAGCTCTGCCCCGCTGCCTGCCACAGGGAGCCTTCATCAGCTGCTTGGTGGGACCAGTTGCTGCTGAAGCAAGTTCCCATCAGCTAGGCCTCCTCTACATCTTAGAAGCAACGGCTGCTTTGGCTGTCGTTGGTGGGGATGGCAACTCTTAAGACATACTAAATTTCACTTTAGGCTTTTAATAATTGCTAAGAGTCACCATATTCACGGCAAGCAATCCTCCAAGCAATGCTTGTGAGGGCATCTGCAGAAGTAGGAAGCATTCAGCTGTTTAGTGCCCAGTGACAGGTCAAGGGGCAATGGGCACAAACTGAAGCAGAGGAAGCTCCAGCTGAACCCGAGGAAGAACTTCTTCCCTCTGAGGGTGACGGAGCCCTGGCCCAGGCTGCCCAGGGAGGGTGTGGAGTCTCCCTCTCTGGAGATATTCCAGCCCCGCCTGGACAAGGTCCTGTGCAGCCTGCTCTGGGTGACCCTGCTTGGGCAGGAGGGTTGGACTGGGTGACCCACAGAGGTCCCTGCCAACCCCTGCCATTCTGTGATTCTGTAACTGCTCCCATTGCCACAGGACCTCCTACAGACATGGCGCAGAACTTAGGTTCTCAAACTCCTTACCGAGGTGCCGAGACTCACCACGGTCAGCCTCCCACACCGCATCCATCGGGAACAGCTACAGCCATCAGGATGGGGCAGGCACCCAGGAAAACACGACTGAAGAGCATCCTTAGAGGGAAATGTGCTTGGAAGTAGAGATCCCAGGTGATGTCTCAGCCGATGCTCCTCAGGCTGGAGCCTTGGCTCTGCTCATAGCTGGTAGCAGCACTGCAGCCATCACACAGCATGGGCTCCAACCGCCTCGCCCCCCGCCACGGGGTGGTCTCCAGTAAGCTGGTGACAGGGGTAGGTGGGTTTGCTGAGATAAATCTGCCTTCCCCCACAGCAGACAGCTGAACCATAACGAGGGGAAGCTCTTTGAGGGCCCCTAAGCACACAGCTCTTCATGCATCACCTGCAGGTACCAGCAGAAGCCAGGCAGATGCAGTATCACTTTAACATGTCCCTCCTCCTGGTGACCTTGTGGAAGTAAAGACTGGCAACTCATGTAGGAGGAGACCATCAGCAACTCCCTTCCCCAGCAGCCTGGGAGAACTGTTCCTGAAGACACACTGACCACAAGCTCTCTCTGCCTTTAGGAGGTGAGACCACCAGCTCACCTAAACGCAGACCAGCTGGACCAGTAGAAGTGACCTAATTTTTACCTAGCAGTTCTCCACTATTTCCTACCCATGAAGTGGAGAAGACTTTCTACATGGAAGAGTGCACAGTGAGTACTGTGAGGTGTTCATGGAAACACAGAATGGTTTGGGTTGGGAGGGACATTAAAAATCATCTGGTTCCAACCCCCCTGCCATGAGCAGGGACATCTCCCACCAGACCAGGGTGCTCAGAGCTCCATCCAACCTGGCCTTGAGCCCTGCCAGGGAGGGGGCAGCCACAGATTCTCTGTGCAGCCTGGGCCAGGGTTTCACCACCCTCCTGGTGAAGAATTTCTTCCTAATCTCTAATCTAAATCTGCCCTCTTTTAGTTTAGAGCCGTTCCCCCTTGTCCTGTCACTGCACACCCTTGTGAAAAGCCCCTCTCCATCCTTCCTGTAGCCCCTCCA